CTGCTTTGTATTTCTAATGGAAAATCAGCCTCGTTTAAACATGCCAGAGATCTTCGCCATCAGCATTTCGTGCATTTTCGTACTTTTAAGGGAAGTGACTTTCTCACGCCTTGTTAGCATTTGTATTGAATAACTCAGGAGAACTAAGGGACATAAAAAAAAGGGTGTTCTGAAATTAATTCACATTTCTACCGCCTTTGGGAGAAAATTGGCCTCATGGAAGAATCAGATGACAAAAATCAATAGACGTGTGCAGAAATGGTGTACAAATATAAATATACATTTTTAATGAATAATGGTTTAGAGAATGCTGCACAGAAAGGTTGTTCGTTTGTGACCGAAATGTCATTGGTTTGAGTCGTGAAAACAACCTATTTGCAAAGTAAGAATCAAGCTATGTACGATAGACGTTCTTTCCCTTCCCCGACTTTTGTAAAGTGAAAAGTCTTATTGGCTTGGAGTTTTCCTTTTAATGGTTTAGAGAAATTGGGAATTTAGTGGTGGTAACATCATAAACTTCCACATCCAGTGAACTAGGCATGCTAATGGGCAAAACCGCATATGATCAGAATTTTATATTTCGTTATGGCCTAAGCCGCGAAACGTCCTCCTGCCATCGAGAATCTTCCGGTGGAAGATCCTTATATTTGGATTTTAACAGAGTATAGGCTCAACGGGGAACACTTGCCACGGGACAACCAGCAAGCTCACTAGATTGTTCTGTATAAAGTTAAACATGTGCGACTGCCAGCCCTTGATATGGTGCCTATAAATGTCTGTACAAGAGGGATATATATATTAAAACATATTAAATGAATGAAGGTATCTAAATGAAGAACATAAAGTGTATTAGAATACATTATATATAAAAAAAAAATTAGTTTACCTAAATGTCTAGAGTAAAATATACTATGGTGAATAAAATGAAAATTATGATCATATGTAATTAATATAATAATTAGAAAGAAAGAGAAATAAAACATCAAAATATAATTCATATATGAGCTGATTAAATATGTGCACTAACATGGACATTGAGTCAAGGGACTAAAATGAGTTTTTAATGTTACACAAGATTTTAGTTTAAAATGATTTTTTCAAGGACTTTGACAAAGTTTTCTGAAAAAAAAAAAAAAAAAAAACAAATATCAAGCCTTGGACAATATGAATTATCTTCAGAGGAAAGTACATTATTGATCCATAAACTGTCACCCTAGTTTAGATTTTATCCCGAACTAAGTTATTTTTATTTTTATTAGACAACTCTAAAATCTAACGTAGTGCATTGGTTCCTCTCTGTTTCAAGTCGAATTTTTATTCTATAACGTTGAGATAAAATTAAATTGAACAACAAACAAGGTGGCACACAGGCTACCTAGCTAGGTTGGGTTTAACCGTTGATAACCCAGTACTTTCGTTTAAAGAACCCCTAATGTAATCTCTGATCTTCCCATTGATGATAGCACTTTTTAGTAATTTTCTTTGGTGCGAAAAACTCTTTTTCTCTTGGTTCGGGTTGAAATCCCTGACAAGGTTAATGTTATACGTATTCAATTTCTTCATCAATGAATATCGTATTTATGCTAAAAAAAAATTAAACAAAAATAAATAGAATGAGAGAGGGGCATTTTCATTTGTTAATTATTATATTACACATATACAATCACATATTTCTACACAACCCTAGCTAGTAAGCTACAGCTCATCCATACATAAGGAGTCCTCGGACTACAACTCTAACTAGTAGAATCTTCCCCCTTGTGCTTGCTTGAATATACATCAGAAAAAGGGACTTCATATGGACAAGGTTTGCCTGTACAGTCTTTGCTCAGATTCGAGTGCTTGTACAAACAATGGTGTTAATTTGTTTCAACAACTTCATATGGAGGCCAGTCGTTTGACTTAGTATGTGTAGTTTGAGTATCCAAGACTTCCCTTGAAATGAAGGCTGATAATTATTGAGTTGTCCTCCATATCCACTGAAAGAATGGATCCTCTCCAGGTCCTAATGAGTGTGTTCTTAAGATCGATTTTTGCCATTGGAGCACGGAGCATAGCTTCAAATGCAAGCAAGGGTTTCAGTCCATTGGTATTTGGTGGGCTTTAAGCTTCGTGTAACCCGGTGTAATCATATTATTGAAACTGCAACGTATTGGAATACACGGGAGCTATTATATTGGACCACACTCCTGAGCTTTCTTTCGTGCAGTCACAACAGGAAACTAACAAGGCTCAGTCGTCGGAGAGGAAGTTATCAATGCATCGATTTCACTTTGATACTTCATGAACCACCCAGATCTGTCTTGCTTCATTTCGAAGGGTCAGCAGGCTCCTACGGATCATGCAAACGCCGATGCCATTTAGGGCATTTCCAATCTTTTAATATTAACACTGCCCCCGACTTGTTTTTGCTTTCTTGTTTTCAGAATGTCCCTCCTGCTACGTACGGTAGTACTTCTGGAGAAGGCACACACGATATGAATTCCATCAGTACAATGTCGTTAACATCAAAATCTAGCAATACTCATATATTTACTACTTAATTATAGTGCTGCATTGAAATGCATATATTGTTAATCATGGGCAACTACGTCTAAGATGCACTAGGATACAACGAGATGATCACACCATTTCATGAGGCTTTTTTCTAATATGTAGAGACTGTATAAGAAACAAACTGATATTATCTATGCGCAAGAGAAAAAATCCATACACAATAAAATCATGAAAACTGCTATTCACATATATTAATAGAACTAAAAACCACGGAGGGATAATATTAAAGTAACACATGTTCTTGCATCCAAAATCACAATTCAAAAAATGCAAAATGAAAATAATAATAAACCAAACAAGAAATTAGAGGAATTAGGGGTAGCAAGGTTTCAGAAACATCTAAAATATTTATCACCGCAAAACAAGTAAGAAGACGAAACCTTTATCCACAAAACACACATACTGCAAAAGGGAAAAATAAAGAAAGGATACGTATTGTTATGATCCCACATTGGTTACACCAAAAATGGTGTTCTTAAGTGCAAGGGGTCCTTCCACCCATCAGACTAGTCTTTTGGGTTGGGCTTTTTCCTTGGGCTTGAGACCTAACATTGGTATCAGAGCCTAGGTTCCCGATGCTGCGGGACTTGGCGAGTGGTGCCGCCTTGGGAGTATGGGCTCCCAAGGGACTTGGCGACTGGTGCGGCCGTGAGCGTTGGGTCTTCCGAAGGGTGATGTAATGTTATGATCCCACATTAGCTACACCAAAAATGGTGTAGTGGTTCTTAAGTGCAAGAGATCCTCCCATCCATCAGACTAGTCTTTTGGGTTGAGCTCTTCCCTTGAGCTTGAGACCTAACACGTATTAATATATAGAAACATATATACATCTGGTAAATCATGAATACGATGTTACAAAACCCTAGTTTAGGCTCACTAGTAGACAAGGCACCATCACCGTCCCCTTCATCTTGGGATTCAGAAGACTCAAAACCTTCATCATTCTTCTTTTTATATGGAAGCTGATCTAGCAAAACCCTAATCAGCGATTAGAATGCAATGGCCATGTACCCGTTGAGTATTTATAACTGAGGACGAGGGCTCTCAGAGAGTGGTTTCACAAAACAAGAGGCGTCAATACTGTGGGTAAGTAGGTGGTATTAGGTTCATGTTTTCAATGATATGAATATGGAATGAGATTATATTTTGCCATTTTAATTTACTCGTATTCTATTTTTCGGTTTCTCTATTTACCCGCCACTTTCTATTTGAGTTCATCGACGTTTATATTCTTTTAATTATTTATTATAGAAGATAATACGTCATATTTCATTCGTAAAAGGACGAATACAAGATTTAATAAATGAAGAACATGAGCCGATACGAGAGTAATTTCAAATAAAATATGAAACTATGACATTATAATCGCAAATGTTGCAAGAAATTCAAAGAGATGAAGGACTCGTATTGAAGCCAAGGAATATTTTAGTGCCACAAGATCACACAAGAGATCAAAGCTCTCAACACCAATTAATTGTGAGATAGTAAAACGCTATATTTTTATTTGAATTTTGCAGAAAAGGACATCGCGACTCCAAATCAATGTATGATCTCGAAGCACCATTTAATAGCATCTAACAAAACTCAACCAGATCTCGCACAATAGCGAAATCACCTCTCAGTATTGTGGGTAGGCAGGTGATATAAGGTTCAAGTTTTCAATTATGTGAACATGAAATAAGCACATTGTGTGGTGTGGCTGGTTTTCATGTACCGGCGGATCCACATAGAGAATCGGTGGTAGGCCGGGAAAATGTATGTGAAGGTCCTAAGTCATTCATGGACCCTCCGAATGTTTAATATGAGACCCTTTTGTGTCCCCTTCAAACGTTTAATGAAATGCCTTTGAGGAATTTATTGGAAACATTTGGTAGGTTGTGTCGATAGCACTCGACATATTGCTTTGGCATTTGTCGACATGAATGCCGATGAAAATTGGCTCAATAAGCACAAATTTCCTCACATGAAAAATTGCGTACTCTATGCACACAGTTTTTGACTAAATAAAACTTGGAGGCAACTTAAGTGCTGCTTTGGAAACTATTGCAAGATTAACAGAGGGTGGTGCGGAGTTTTCCTCGTGGTGCCTTTATGTTACTTCTCCGGCTTGGAAGGTTTAGTCCCCATGAGTGTTATATTCCCTGTTGATAGATAATTAAAATATCTTCCCCAATGTTACATAAATGACATGTTTACTTACACGATATAGATATATTTGATTCCTGACCACTAAACACATGATATTTGAATTATTCCAATTACTGTTTTCCTTCGTGTTTAGTAACAAAAAAAAAAAAAAAAAAAACTGCGAGTTTCAAATTAAAGTTCATAATCGAATACCTTAGAAGTCAGAATTTGATGGATTAGCGAAGAAGGGAGTGGAGCTTGTTGATCCATACCCATTTCTTACTTACCCTCCTAGCTACTCACTAAACATTGCCATATAGAAAAAGAAGAAGGGCGTCTCTGGTTTGATGAAAATTCCTAATCCATTCAAAACATGCCCAAAAGTTTACAACTACAGTTTATTTCCAAGACTACATGGTTATGTCGAATAGATATGAAGGAAATAAAGCTCCTCCTAGTCCTCAAAATATCTTCTCTGCTAGCTCCTATATACAAGCAAAGACCACAGCAAAAAGAAATAAAACCATCATCGAAATTCATTGAAAAACCCGAGCCGCAGAAAGCTAATCCATGCAATGAGTGCATCATAAGACCTTTGATTCATCTTCCAAGGGGTCACGTAGGGTTCCACACATCCAATCCATCCATATAGTGTAATGGCCATAGTTATGGCGGTATGTAGTATGATGTATGGTGTGGTAGCCGGCACCCATGACAGGCCATATTTTGGAGTGGATGCAATCGTGAATGTTCGCTGTCCATATGGCCTCGATAAATAGGAGCGCTATGTGGGTGGTAAAATGCATTGGTACAAGAAATAGAGCTATAACATGTGGAACTGCCTGGAGTATCCCATCAATTGGGTGAAAAGCCAAACCTGACATAAACAGATCCAAAATAGTCGAGCATTAGCAAAATAAGTAAACAAAAGATTTCAAAAACCTGATGACAAGGTTGATGATTACAACAAAGCCTTTTCCCACTAAGTGGGGTCGGCTATATGAATCCTAGAACGCCATTGCGCTCGGTTTTGTGTCATGTCCTCCGTTAGATCCAAGTACTCTAAGTCTTTTCTTAGAGTCTCTTCCAAAGTTTTCCTAGGTCTTCCTCTACCCCTTCGGCCCTGAACCTCTGTCCAGTAGTGACATCTTCGAACCGGAGCGTCAGTACGCCTTCTTTGCACATGTCCAAATCACCGGAACCGATTTTCTCTCATCTTTCCTTCAATTTCGGCTACTCCTACTTTACCTCGGATATCCTCATTCCCAATCTTATCCTTTCTCGTGTGCCCACACATCCCACGAAGCATCCTCATCTCCGCCACACCCATTTTGTGTACGTGTTGATGCTTCACCGCCCAACATTCTGTGCCATACAACATCGCTGGCCTTATTGCCGTCCTATAAAATTTTCCCTTGAGCTTCAGTGACCTACGACGGTCACACAACACGCCGGATGCACTCTTACACTTCATCCATCCAGCTTGTATTCTATGGTTGAGATCTCCATCTAATTCTCCGTTCTCTTGCAAGATAGATCCTAGGTAGCGAAAACGGTCGCTTTTTGTGATCTTCGCTAGATTGCTCCGGTCATTAGTGTGGATAAGTATATAAATGGATAGAGATAGGAAAGCAAACACAAGATGTACGTGGTTCACCCAGATTGGCTACGTCCACGGAATAGAGGAGTTCTCATTAATTGTGAAGGGTTTACACAAGTACATAGGTTCAAGCTCTCCTTTAGTGAGTACAAGTGAATGATTTAGTACAAATGACATTAGGAAATATTGTGGGAGAATGATCTCGTAATCACGAAACTTCTAAGTATCGGAGTGTGGTATCGTCTTGACTTGCCTTATCTGTCTCATAGGTAGATGTGGCATCTTCTCTGGAAGTACTCTTCCTCCATCCAGGGGTGGTATCTTTAACTGGTGGAGATGCACAAGGTAATGTATCAATTTCACTTGAAGCTTACTTGTAGTTTCAGGCTTGGTCAAGCGCGATACAAACCATGTAGTAGGAGTCCCCCAAGTCGCCGAGCTAGGGGATCTGCTGAAAGAGGTGACAGACAAGGTAAGCAATCAGAGCTCCGGCTGATTGTTCACATTCTCCCTATCTTGCAGGCAGCATGAAGGATAAAGAGAAGAAAAATGAGAAGAGATGATATGGGATACTTTTGCTTTTGAAGAAGTAACTTTCCACAGGCTTATTCTTGAACTGAGCTGGAGGGTTTTCTGGTTTCCTCCAGAGTATAAGGCCGACTGAAGAATTTGAGGGTCAAAACAAGTCCATCAAATCTAGAGTACGTTCGACCCTGCTGATATGGGATACTTTTGCTTTTGACAGAGTAATGGATGTATCGGCACGTGTGCTGTTACGCTTGTCTCCACATGCTTCCTTGTATCCTTCTCACTTGCCCTATCTGTTCCTCAGGCAGATGCGGTATCTTCCCTGGAAGCATAAGATGTTGAAGATGAGTACTCGAGAGCAATGCCAGGTAAGTAATCAGGTAAGGGGTTCCAGGCAGTCAGTTCCTGGCTGGAAGCTTGATTCCAAGTGCTGACTGATTGCTCTCTTTTCTCCTTGTCTTGCAGGTAAGAACAAGGCCAAAGGAAAAGACAGGGAAAAAGCATGATATGGGATACTCTTGCTTTTAACCCTGATGATATGAGATATTCTTGCTCTAGTATAGCTTGTTTGCAGAGGTATTATCGGGGGGAAAGAAAGCTGAATATTTCGAAAGGCTTCGTTGGGAGTGCCCTCTCAGATATGAGGAAGGGTTGAGCATTTTTGCAGGTCTGCCTGTCCGTTGGGGATGGAGGTCGACATATATAGGAGTCTCCCTAACAACAAGTAGTAATGCTATTCCTTTACCCTGCTTGGTCATAGCACGGTAGTGGGAGCTGCCAGCTTCACATGTTTTTAACTCTGTCAGAGCACTTTGAAAAAGTGGTCTGTGGTATCTGGAAAGCTGATGTTGCGTGTGAAGATTACAGACAAGCTTTATCCAAGGAGATCCGGCTCTTGAAGTTGGGAAAGTGGTGCCTCTTCGGTTTTCGAACAAGCAATCCTGTCGGGGATCTGGCTCTCGAGATTCGGAGAACGATGCCTCTTCGATTTTTGAGAAAGCAATCATGCTGGGGGTCTGGCTCTCGAGATTCGGAGAGCGGTGTCTCTTCGATTTTTGAGAAAGTAATCATGTTGGGAGTCTGGCTCTCGAGATTCGGAGGGCGGTGCCTCTTCGATTTTGGAGCAAGCAATCTTGTTGGGAGTGTTTTCTCGAATGTGAGTAAAGGTTGGGCATGTTTGCTAGTCTACCTTGCCACGAAGCACAGAGGTTGACACACAGGGACTTTCCAATTATCCAGCAATGGTACTGTTCCTTTACCCTCTCTTCGATTTTTGAGAAAGTAGTCATGTTGGGAGTCTGGCTCTCGAGATTCGGAGGACGGTGCCTCTTCGATTTTGGAGCAAGCAATCTTGTTGGGAGTGTTTTCTCGAATGTGAGTAAAGGTTGGGCATGTTTGCTAGTCTACCTTGCCACGAAGCACAGAGGTTGACACACAGGGACTTTCCAATTATCCAGCAGTGGTACTGTTCCTTTACCCTTGTGGGTAATAATATGGTAGCTAGACCTTCAAAATTTATGTGTCTAAACTTTGTTAGTGTTGTTTCTTTGCTATTCTTTTACCCTTCTTGGTCAGAGCGATGTAGTGGGAGCTGCAAGCTTCACGTGTCTCAACTTTGGCAGAGAACTTTGGCAAAGTTATCTGTGGTACCCATGAGCTACTGTTGCGTGTGGGAAGTGGGTGATTGAACAGTAAGATTCATGTGCTTTTCTACTTCACCAGAAGTCTTCGACAGAATGCCCATAATTTCCGCAAAGCTGAGTGTGCGTGTGACAGGTGCTGACAAGGCTGGAAAAGTAGGTGCCTCTTCGATTTCTGAGATCGGCCCTCGTGGTCTCTGAGCAGCCCAGCTTTTGAGAAAGCAAGCGCCTCTTCGATTTCTGAGATCGGCCTTCGTGGTCTTTGAGCAGCCCAACTTTTGAGAAAGCAAACGCCTCTTCGATTTCTGAGATCGACCCTCGTGGTCTCTGAGCAGCCCAGCTTTTGAGAAAGCAAACGCCTCTTCGATTTCTGAGCAGGCGCCTCTTCGATTTCTGAAGCTCCGTCGAGTGCAGATTTTTATAGGGGCTGGCATTAAGTTCCAAAGCACACTTGAATCTCCACCAGTAGAAGCTCCATTCTTGCACTTCTAAGATCTTGATTTGTCCGACCTCTTCTCTCTTCAACACCTTTGAAAATGTCTGGCCCCTCCGACCGTCGTTTTGACTTGAACCTTGTTGAAGAGGCAGCCCCGCCTTCTCCAGACAACATATGGCGCCCATCCTTCGTCTCCCCTACTGGTCCTCTTACCGTTGGGGATTCCGTGATGAAGAATGATATGACCGCTGCGGTGGTGGCCAGGAACCTTCTCACTCCCAAAGATAACAGACTACTTTCCAAACGGTCTGATGAGTTAGCTGTTAAGGATTCTCTGGCTCTCAGTGTTCAGTGTGCAGGTTCTGTGTCTAATATGGCCCAACGCCTATTTGCTCGAACCCGCCAAGTTGAATCATTGGCGGCTGAAGTGATGAGTCTCAAACAGGAGATTAGAGGGCTCAAGCATGAGAATAAACAGTTGCACCGGCTCGCACATGACTATGCTACAAACATGAAGAGGAAGCTTGACCAGATGAAGGAATCTGATGGTCAGGTTTTACTTGATCATCAGAGATTTGTGGGTTTGTTCCAAAGGCATTTATTGCCTTCGTCTTCTGGGGCTGTACCGCGTAATGAAGCTCCAAATGATCAACCTCTGATGCCTCCTCCTTCTAGGGTTCTGTCCAGTACTGAGGCTCCGAATGATCCCCCTCCGGTGCCTTCTCTTTCTGGGGCTCTACCGACTGCTGAGACTTCTCCTAAGCAACCTTTGTGAAGGCTCCCTCTTGTTTGTTTATTTTGACTCATGTATATGTACATATTTTGTAGCTTATCGGGGATATCAATAAATAAGCTTTCCTTCATTTCAACGTATTGTGTTAAATACACCAAAGCCTTCTTCGCTAAGTTCTTTGAATTTTCTTTTGTTGAAGCTTGTATGTTGAAGCTTTGTGAGTGGAGCATGTAGGTTGAGGTAGTGTTCCCTTAATTTCCCGAGTGAGGAAAACTTCTCGGTTGGAGACTTGGAAAATCCAAGTCACTGAGTGGGATCGGCTATATGAATCTTAGAACGCCATTGTGCTCGGTCCTGTGTCATGTCCTTCGTTAGATCCAAGTACTCTAAGTCTTTTCTTAGAGTCTCTTCCAAAGTTTTCCTAGGTCTTCCTCTACCCCTTCGGCCCTGAACCTCTGTCCATAGTCGCATCTTCTAATCGGAGCGTCAGTAGGCCTTCTTTGCACATGTCCAAACCACCGTAACCGATTTTCTCTCATCTTTCCTTCAATTTCGGCTACTCCTACTTTACCCCGGATATCCTCATTCCTAATCTTATCCTTTCTCGTGTGCCCACACATCCAACGAAGCATCCTCATCTCCGCTACACCCATTTTGTGTACGTGTTGATGCTTCACCGCCCAACATTCTGTGCCATACAGCATCGCCGGCCTTATTGCCGTCCTATAAAATTTTCCCTTGAGCTTCAGTGGCATACGGCGGTCACACAACACGCCGGATGCACTCTTCCACTTCATCCATCCAGCTTGTATTCTATGGTTGAGATCTCCATCTAATTCTCCGTTCTTTTGCAAGATAGATCCTAGGTAACGAAAACGGTCGCTCTTTGGTATTTCTTGATCTCCGATCCTCACCCCTAACTCGTTTTGGCCTCCATTTGCACTGAACTTGCACTCCATATATTCTGTCTTTGATCGGCTTAGGCGAAGACCTTTAGATTCCAACACTTCTCTCCAAAGGTTAAGCTTTGCATTTACCCCTTCCTGAGTTTCATCTATCAACACTATATCGTCTGCGAAAAGCATACACCAAGGAATATCATCTTGAATATGTCCTGTTAACTCATCCATTACCAACGCAAAAAGGTAAGGACTTAAGGATGAGCCTTGATGTAATCCTACAGTTATGGGAAAGCTTTCGGTTTGTCCTTCATGAGTTCTTACGGCAGTCTTTGCTCCTTCATACATATCCTTTATAGCTTGGATATATGCTACTCGTACTCCTTTCTTCTCTAAAATCCTCCAAAGAATGTCTCTTGGGACCCTATCATACGCTTTTTCCAAATCTATAAAGACCATGTGTAAATCCTTTTTCCCATCTCTATATCTTTCCATCAATCTTCGTAAGAGATAGATTGCCTCCATGGTTGAGCGCCCTGGCATGAACCCGAATTGGTTGTCCGAAACCCGTGTCTCTTGCCTCAATCTATGCTCAATGACTCTCTCCCAGAGCTTCATTGTATGACTCATTAGCTTAATACCCCTATAGTTCATGCAATTTTGTACGTCGCCCTTATTCTTGTAGATAGGCACCAAAGTGCTCGTTCGCCACTCATTTGGCATCTTCTTCGTTTTCAAAATCCTATTGAAAAGGTCAGTGAGCCATGTTATACCTGTCTCTCCCAAAACTTTCCACACTTCGATTGGTATATCGTCTGGGCCTATTGCTTTTCTATGCTTCATCTTCTTCAAAGCTACAACCACTTCTTCCTTCCGGATTCGACGATAAAAAGAGTAGTTTCTACACTCTTCTGAGTTACTCAACTCCCCTAAAGAAGCACTCCTTTTCATGTCCTTCATTGAAAAGATTATGAAAATAACCTCTTCCATCTGTCTTTAACCGCGTTCTCTGTAGCAAGAACCTTTCCATCCTCATCCTTGATGCACCTCACTTGGTTTAGGTCCCTTGTCTTCTTTTCCCTTGCTCTAGCTAGTTTATAGATATCCAACTCTCCTTCTTTGGTATCTAGTCGTTTATACATATCGTCATAAGCCGCTAACTTAGCTTCTCTCACAGCTTTCTTCGCCTCTTGCTTCGCTTTTCTATACCTTTCACCATTTTCATCGGTCCTATCCTTGTATAAGGCTTTACAACATTCCTTCTTAGCCTTCACCTTTGTTTGTACCTCCTCATTCCACCACCAAGATTCCTTTTGGTGTGGGGCAAAGCCCTTGGACTCTCCTAATACCTCTTTTGCTACTTTTCGGATACAACTAGCCATGGAATCCCACATTTGGCTAGCTTCCCCCTCTCTATCCCACACACACTGGGTGATTACTTTCTCTTTGAAAATGGCTTGTTTTTTCTTCTTTTAGATTCCACCATCTAGTCCTTGGGCACTTCCAAGTCTTGTTCTTTTGTTCTCACTCTTTTGATATGTACATCCATCACCAACAAGCGATGTTGATTAGCCACGCTCTCTCCTGGTATAACTTTGCAATCCTTACAAGTTATACGATCCCCTTTCCTCATTAGAAGAAAATCTATTTGTGTTTTTGACGACCCACTCTTGTAGGTGATCACATGTTCTTCTCTCTTCTTAAAGAAGGTGTTGGCTAAGAAGAGATCATATGCCATTGCAAAATCCAAGATAGCTTCCCCATCCTCGTTTCTCTCCCCAAAACCATGGCCACCATGAAAACCTCCATAGTTGCCTGTCTCCCTGCCCACGTGTCCATTTAAATCTCCTCCTATAAATAACTTCTCCGTCTGAGCAATTCCTTGCACCAAGTCTCCAAGGTCTTCCCAAAATTTCTCCTTCGAACTCGTATCCAACCCTACTTGAGGTGCGTACGCACTAATCACATTGATAAGTTCTTGTCCTATTACAATCTTGATTGCCATGATTCTATCTCCTACCCTCTTGACATCTACAACATCTTGTGTCAAGGTCTTGTCCACGATGATGCCAACACCGTTTCTCGTTCTCTATTTGTGCCCGAATACCAAAGTTTAAACCCTGAGTTTTCTAGATCCTTTGCCTTACTACCAACCCACTTAGTTTCTTGTAGGCACATAATATTTATCCTTCTCCTCACCATAACTTCCACTACTTCCATAGATTTTCCCGTTAAGGTTCCTATATTCCACGTTCCTAAACGCATTTTGCTCTCTTGAACTCTACCCTTCTGTCCTAGCTTCTTCACCCTCCCCCGTCTAATAGATCTAGGAAAGATCACCAAAAACGTGTCACTTCTAATTTCAAAGTACCGCTTTTGGTGTGCAGAAAAGTGTCTTACAAGATTGGATAGGAATTGTTCAAATGACATTGATTTCCATTAAAAAAAAAAAACTTAACATGGCCTTTTTACTTATGGAAAACAGATGTTTTATTAACATGTCATAAACAAAAGTTGATAAGATGTCAATCTCAAGCAGAATGCAGAACTCTTAAACTAAGCACTACTGATCAACAGAGACAGCCAGACTCGAATCCACATGAATATAAAAGAAAAAGGTACATAACCAATTTCCGAGGAATGTTTTATTTTTATGGAGAGGGATTCTGATGAACTGAAACACACAATAAGCGGCATGAAACTACCACTTTGGTCCATGAACATTACACACGAAATAACTATCACTGGGACTCTAAAGGAGGAATGTCCTTTTTTTTTTGAACAAAGGATAGTATCCACACTAAGGAGGTGGGGGAGTGGGCTAAGCCTTACAATAGGCTTACCATAATAATATGGTTCAACTTCACCTTTGGCGAGAATATCTCTTACTTACAAGTGTAGAGGAATACCACTAGACTGTAGTACTAAGTGGCTGCCAAAACCTAATCCATTGTATAGTGGATACATTGATTGTTTTCTACAACCTAACTCTGGGTCTTAGTAGCAAAGCATAATATCAGAAGCCTATACCATACCAACTCAACTAGGTGATAACAAGGTTGAATTATTAGTCAACCAATGATCCTGGGGAAGAACTTGAGGAAAGTTCTTTTATCAAATCCTAGGTGGGTAGGGAGAATTTGCAGAACGAATGAAAAATAGTACATCATTAGCTTGTTAAGGTGAAAGTCTCAGAAAAACCAGGAAACTGAAAGTGCATGTGCATTCCATGTATTTTTCATGCTTCTTACTGATCCAGAAAGCAATTGAGACTTGTAAAGTTGGTTTCCAGATATACACTGAGAGTGGCAGCTCGAGTTAGAGCCAAAATCGCCATATGAAGGAGATTAACAGTCTTATGTTACGGAAAAGAAAAGTAAAAGAGAAACTGTTATCCTTCTTCCAAAATGACTTCTTGCACTCAACACTCAACATTTAAGTTGCTAAGTAAAACCAAAACTGTACAGAATATGAATGGAATTTTGATAAACAAGGAAGGATAAACAAACGTGGAATTCCTAGAGTTTGTCTATCGCATCAAGTCCTTGAAAAAGTCACGTTCTACGACAAAATAGACTAGAGTGAAACCCAATTGGCAGGATAAAACAAACGTAAAATACAATGATAACAAGAAGCAAGATATCTGGTGTTCGAGCAAGAGATACGCTGGGAAGAAAAGGGGGAAGTGTGTCACAGAAATATGTATCCTCATCAAGTGCACCAAACGCAGATTATACATACTCTATAACACTATCAAACATGACAGATGTATATGTGCCCATGCATCCGAATCAGATAAGACGTAAAAACATTCAAATTGCCATAAAGTATGAAAGTTTAGTTTGATAGCTTACCAGCAAACGGAGAGAGGGTGTTCTGCTTATTGTAGATGTGATGGGTTGCATGAAGATATTTATACAGAGGTTTTATGTCGTGCACTCTCTGTGCATCCAATATATTCCGAACTCCACGAATACAAGATAAATTGCTAAATACGAGAGGTAAGCGGGCCAACCGACATCACTTATTCTTGCAAAGCACTTTGCCCAGCCATTTTCAACCATGTACTCAGAAACAGTTGGAAGAGCACAGTACCAAGGCATGGCCTTCATGGCAACATATATTTGCAAAAGCATGGCTTTATTCGAGGGAACGGCATCTGCAATGAGGGAACAGTTAAAGAAAGAAAGTAAATTGTATTCATCCTAAAGGTAGTTCTCAATACGGACGAAATTTTACGGTCAATGAACAAAACATCATAGGATCCACAACCTACAAGCTACAACCTTGTAACCTTATGTATGCTGAATCTTTGTAAAAAATTTAATCACTAATCAATATGAAAGAGAAAGTTGAGATACGGATCAATCAATGTACATAAAAAACAACTCGAACAACCACAGTCCAACTAATTTTCCTGAGATTAAAATAATAAAGGGAACTTTAATGAAAAACTTCCAATATTGTTCACTTTAACGAAAACCACATTTTTACACTAAAAAGGCAATCCTGATACTATTCACTTTATCCTTTATTTTGTCCTTATCGTTAAAACTCAAAGTTTTCAAGCCATTTTCATTAATTTTCCTAATAAACTACTCATAGAAAAAACTATTGAAGAAAGAGAGAAATGAAGAAATTAAATCAAAACCAACAAACAAATAAACAGACTCAAAAGTTTTGAACCAAGCAAAACCAATCTGATAAATAGATTTAGAAATCACTAAAACTCTCCTCAATCCATACCTTGAAAATAACAAGAGTAATTAGTAGGGATTCTAAGAAATCACACAACTACTCAAAAACAATGTGATGGTCTTTAATTATGCTTTACTTTTCAATGAATAAGGCGATATTCTAATTAATCTAATTTGAGATTTGAACTTATGTGCTCTAGCACACTCTTCTAGTCAATTGTAATACATCTGTTTGTTTTATTTTTGGTGTTCAATAATTTCCGTAATCCATGAGCGGAGAGATGTTCACAATCAATAACCAACAGTACCCACCAAATCACAGACTCACATATTTCATCCCACAACCAAACCACCAATTTATTATTATTATTATTTTTATAAAAATACTGAACGAAAAGTAAAAGTCAAACCACTAAAAAGGAAGAGAGAGACCATTGGACATTGGTGTACCTTTGGGGATATAAATGTTGCGTTTCAAGTAATAAATGTAGAGGCACCAGAGGAAGCCGGAGACGAGGTAGAGCAAGGTCCCGCCGACGTAGTTGCGCAGCCACGTCTGGAAGAAGTGGGGGAGTGGGTCCCACAATATATTGGGCACGAGGCTGCCGAGCACAATGCGGTTATAGAACGTCGTCTCCTCCAGGAACGGGTTCAGGTAGGACTCCTCCATCGGCGCGACACGATTCTTCCAGCGAGGGGCTGCCACCGGAGATTTGAGCAGCGAATAAAAAGGTAGGAGAGAGAGAGAGAGGGGGGCAGAGAGACAGAGGCAGGTAGGCTGCGCTGGAGGCGAACGACTGATGCTGAGATTCGTTTGTCTGTTTTGTAATGTTGTGCTGTGTTGTGTTTTTTCAAGTTGGGAGTACGTGGACGACGTAATTTAAGCTTTTAGTGTTATGCTATCGATTGGTATGGTGAAGGGCCGGACCATCATGCTTCATGTAGCCCTACCTCCACCACCGTTTGGAGAAATTTTTCACTGTGACCGGATGGTACACTATATGTTTTTATGTAAGTGGTAAGAAATTTTATTTTTTAAGTTATTAACTTTTTAGCATACAAATTCCACAATTTGATAGTGACAAGTGGTTTACCACCTCGTATGCCGGTTACATTGAAAATTCTCTCAATTGCTTGCAAGCTGGAAATTACAATGCAATCCTTTGAAAAAAAATCAATTCAACGATATATTTATGTTAAGGCTTTTTCACAGTAGGCCGAAAGATTAAGTGTGACACCTATAATATAAGAATCAAACTTTTAAGTGGGGCAAGGAATCTGAGTGTTATGATTATGATTCTTACTTTTGAGTTCAGTACTCATAAGTGTGATTCATATACAACTAATGACGAAAGAGAGGAAAAAAGATAACCATTCCTAAAATAGAGAAAAAGAAAAAAATAGACGGGTTAACATTTAATTTACAAAACTCACTCCTATCAAACTTACTATACTTTGGCAATAATAGTGTCATGGTGCTCGATTTTTATTTATGGACATCAATTTCACCTAAACCAATGTGGAATACATATAATGAACATGCCACAATAAGTTGGTATTGAACTCTCTATCAACGAAATTTGAACCTAAGACCTCCATTTACAAGTAAAAAGAAATTCCATTAGACTGTAGGGTTAAGTGACGGTACATTTTCTTAAAAAACTAAAAAGTTCATTTGTTGCAAGTGATGAATTGCCGTTGTAACTCCGCCTATGTCTTACATGGCCGGTCCCAAGCCCGGATAAAGGAGGAGGGGGAGGGCGTCAGGTAGTCGACAGCCGGCACTCCATGATCACGTCGAATCCTTATGAAAATGAATCCAGAACAAAATCGCGCTAAAGCTAGGGCGTCACCCGTAAGTGGCGCGCTGTGTGGCCCGAGCACAGTGATAAGTGAGCAAGGGTCGCTGTATCTCCATCGGCACCCGGATGCAGTGTTAAATGAGCAAGGGGGCCATAGAAACTTCTTTTCGAACGACTCCACTCAAAGTTGTTTGGGAGCATATGCTCCTATCAACTTTACCCGGGACACACAAAAGAAGTACTTTGATCCTATTAGACGGGGGAGGGTGAAGAAGCTAGGACAGAAGGGTAGAGTTCAAGAGAGCAAAATGCGTTTAGGAACGTGGAATATAGGAACCTTAACGGGAAAATCTATGGAAGTAGTGGAAGTTATGGTGAGGAGAAGGATAAATATTATGTGCCTACAAGAAACTAAGTGGGTTGGTAGTAAGGCAAAGGATCTAGAAAACTCAGGGTTTAAACTTTGGTATTCGGGCACAAATAGAACGAGAAACGGTGTTGGCATCATCGTGGACAAGACCTTGGTACAAGATGTTGTAGATGTCAAGAGGGTAGGAGATAGAATCATGGCAATCAAGATTGTAATAGGACAAGAACTTATCAATGTGATTAGTGCGTACGCACCTCAAGTAGGGTTGGATACGAGTTCGAAGGAGAAATTTTGGGAAGATCTTGGAGACTTGGTGCAAGGAATTGCTCAGACGGAGAAGTTATTTATAGGAGGAGATTTAAATGGACACGTGGGCAGGGAGACAGGCAACTATGGAGGTTTTCATGGTGGCCATGGTTTTGGGGAGAGAAACGAGGATGGGGAAGCTATCTTGGATTTTGCAATGGCATATGATCTCTTCTTAGCCAACACCTTCTTTAAGAAGAGAGAAGAACATGTGATCACCTACAAGAGTGGGTCGTCAAAAACACAAATAGATTTTCTTCTAATGAGGAAAGGGGATCGTATAACTTGTAAGGATTGCAAAGTTATATACCAGGAGAGAGCGTGGCTAATCAACATCGCTTGTTGGTGATGGATGTACATATCAAAAGAGTAAGACAAAAGAACAAGACTTGGAAGTGCCCAAGGACTAGATGGTGGAATCTAAAAGAAGAAAAAACAAGCCATTTTCAAAGAGAAGGTAATCACCCAATGTGTGTGGGATAGAGAGGGGGAAGCTAGCCAAATGTGGGATTCCATGGCTAGTTGTATCCGAAAAGTAGCAAAAGAGGTATTAGGAGAGTCCAAGGGCTTTGCCCCACACCAAAAGGAATCTTGGTGGTGGAATGAGGAGGTACAAACAAAGGTGAAGGCTAAGAAGGAATGTTGTAAAGCCTTATACAAGGAGAGGACCGATGAAAATGGTGAAAGGTATAGAAAAGCGAAGCAAGAGGCGAAGAAAGCTGTCAGAGAAGCTAAGTTAGCGGCTTACGACGATATGTATAAACGACTAGATACCAAAGAAGGAGAGTTGGATATCTATAAACTATCTAGAGCAAGGGAAAAGAAGACAAGGGACCTAAACCAAGTGAGGTGCATCAAGGATGAGGATGGAAAGGTTCTTGCTACAGAGAACGCGGTTAAAGACAGATGGAGAGGTTATTTTCATAATCTTTTCAATGAAGGACATGAAATGAGTGCTTCTTTAGGGGAGTTGAGTAACTCAGAAGAGTGTAGAAACTACTCTTTTTATCGTCGAATCCGGAAGGAAGAAGTGGTTGTAGCTTTGAAGAAGATGAAGCATAAAAAAGCAATAGGCCCAGACGATATACCAATCGAAGTGTGGAAACTTTTGGGAGAGACAGGTATAACATGGCTCACTGACCTTTTCAATAGGATTTTGAAAACGAAGAAGATGCCAAATGAGTGGCGAACGAGCACTTTGGTGCCTATCTACAAGAATAAGGGCGACGTACAAAATTGCATGAACTATAGGGGTATATTAAGCTAATGAGTCATACAATGAAGCTCTGGGAGAGAGAGTCATTGAGCATAGATTGAGGCAAGAGACACGGGTTTCGGACAACCAATTCGGGTTCATGCCAGGGCGCTCAACCATGGAGGCAATCTATCTCTTACGAAGATTGATGGAAAGATATAGAGATGGGAAAAAGGATTTACACATGGTCTTTATAGATTTGGAAAAAGCGTATGATAGGGTCCCAAGAGACATTCTTTGGAGGATTTTAGAGAAGAAAGGAGTACGAGTAGCATATATCCAAGCTATAAAGGATATGTATGAAGGAGCAAAGACTGCCGTAAGAACTCATGAAGGACAAACCGAAAGCTTTCCCATAACTGTAGGATTACATCAAGGCTCATCCTTAAGTCCTTACCTTTTTGCGTTGGTAATGGATGATGAGTTAACAGGACATATTCAAGATGATATTCCTTGGTGTATGCTTTTCGCAGACGATATAGTGTTGATAGATGAAACTCAGGAAGGGGTAAATGCAAAGCTTAACCTTTGGAGAGAAGTGTTGGAATCTAAAGGTCTTCGCCTAAGCCGATCAAAGACAGAATATATGGAGTGCAAGTTCAGTGCAAATGGAGGCCAAAACGAGTTAGGGGTGAGGATCGGAGATCAAGAAATACCAAAGAGCGACCGTTTTCGTTACCTAGGATCTATCTTGCAAAAGAACGGAGAATTAGATGGAGATCTCAACCATAGAATACAAGCTGGATGGATGAAGTGGAAGAGTGCATCCGGCGTGTTGTGTGACCGCCGTATGCCACTGAAGCTCAAGGGAAAATTTTATAGGACGGCAATAAGGCCGGCGATGCTGTATGGCACAGAATGTTGGGCGGTGAAACATCAACACGTACACAAAATGGGTGTAGCGGAGATGAGGATGCTTCGTTGGATGTGTGGGCACACGAGAAAGGATAAGATTAGGAATGAGGATATCCGGGGTAAAGTAGGAGTAGCCGAAATTGAAGGAAAGATGAGAGAAAATCGGTTACGGTGGTTTGGACATGTGCAAAGAAGGCCTACTGACGCTCCGATTAGAAGATGCGACTATGGACAGAGGTTCAGGGCCGAAGGGGTAGAGGAAGACCTAGGAAAACTTTGGAAGAGACTCTAAGAAAAGACTTAGAGTACTTGGATCTAACGAAGGACATGACACAGGATCGAGCACAATGGCGTTCTAAGATTCATATAGCCGATCCCACTCAGTGACTTGGATTTTCCAAGTCTCCAACCGAGAAGTTTTCCTCACTCGGGAAATTAAGGGAACACTACCCCAACCTACATGCTCCACTCAGAAAGCTTCAACATACAAGCTTCAACAAAAGAAAATTCAAAGAACTTAGCGAAGAAGGCTTTGGTGTATTTAACACAATACGTTGAAATGAAGGAAAGCTTATTTATTGATATCCCCGATAAGCTACAAATATGTACATATACATGAGTCAAAATAAACACACAAGAGGGAGCCTTCACAAAGGTTGCTTAGGAGAAGTCTCAGCAGTCGGTAGAGCCCCAGAAAGAGAAGGCACCGGAGGGGGATCATTTGGAGCCTCAGTACTGGACAGAACCCTAGAAGGAGGAGGCATCAGAGGTTGATCATTTGGAGCTTCATTACGCGGTACAGCCCCAGAAGACGAAGGCAATAAATGCCTTTGGAACAAACCCACAAATCTCTGATGATCAAGTAAAACCTGACCATCAGTTTCCTTCATCTGGTCAAGCTTCCTCTTCATGTTTGTAGCATAGTCATGTGCGAGCCGGTGCAACTGTTTATTCTCATGCTTGAGCCCTCTAATCTCCTGTTTGAGACTCATCACTTCAGCCGCCAATGATTCAACTTGGCGGGTTCGAGCAAATAGGCGTTGGGCCATATTAGACACAGAACCTGCACACTGAACACTGAGAGCCAGCGAATCCTTAACAGCTAACTCATCAGACCGTTTGGAAAGTAGTCTGTTATCTTTGGGAGTGAGAAGGTTCCTGGCCACCACCGCAGCGGTCATATCATTCTTCATCACGGAATCCCCAACGGTAAGAGGACCAGTAGGGGAGACGAAGGATGGGCGCCATATGTTGTCTGGAGAAGGCGGGGCTGCCTCTTCAACAAGGTTCAAGTCAAAACGACGGTCGGAGGGGCCAGACATTTTCAAAGGTGTTGAAGAGAGAAGAGGTCGGACAAATCA